TCCTGTAGTGGTTCATTGAACCACAATACTGATAAGTGATTAATAAAAGTCAAAAGACCAAAGAGATCACCTTAATATCAAAAAAAAAAAGAAATAATACAACAATATAAATATGACTATACACATGCCTCAAGTCACTGAAAATCTGTCAAATATTGTCTTCAGACTAACTAGTATCCTATACTGACCCTTTACAATAAAGTTGAAGTTTTTTTTCTTCTTTTTGGTTTTTTTAAATAATCTAAGTAAATAGAAAGATAGAGTAATTTCTATTTAATATAGTTTATAATTTTTACAAGCCTAACACAGACTTATAATTGTGATTGTCTGATATCTGTAAATTGCAAGTTTCACATCTGATATAGGCTTAAAATCGTGACTATCTGATTTTTTGTAAATTGCAAGTTTCACACTTTTCTTTTTTCTCATTTTCTTTTTTTCTTTTTTTATTTCTTGTTTTGTATCTTTTATTATTTACCTCTATACCTTTGTTTTTTTTTTATATATAAAATCTTTTTTTGTTTTTTTGCTTTCCTATGAAAAGACATTATCAGATTGATGGTATCCTATTGTAGAACAGCAGTCAGACAAGCAGTCTACCTTTGTTTGAAGTAATGCAACAGGTCACACTTAGGTACCAATAAGGTGGCCAGGTGATACTAGACTTAAGTATTAGAAAAATTCTCTGTAATCTGTATAGTATCAAGAATTCTAATAAAGTACTAGCATGACTGCTTAAGTTAAAAAAAAAAATAACTGCTATTAATATTGACCTTAGTAAAAGCAAAAAAAATAATAGTAAGCTTTAATTAAAACATTGGTTTAAGTAATTAAGTTTTGAATTATATTAAAAAGTTTTCAAAAATTAGCTGATTTTTTAATAAGTAGGTTAGCTATAATTTTAATTAAAATAATTAGATTTTAATCAAAATTAAAAAAAATTTTAGTTTAAATTATAAATTTATTAATAAAATTTAATAGTAAACAATTTATTAAAACAATTTAGATGATTTAATTATCAAAATAATCTTTTAAAAAAATGTTTTTAACAAAATCAAAATTGCAAAAATTTATAATAGGTCTTTAAAAAATTTATATAAATTTGTATATTATTATATAATATAGTTTTTTTTTTATGTAAATAGTTGTATTACTAACTTTTATTTAAAATACTATGCATCATATATAATATGTTTGAATCAAAAAACTAAGTGTAACATTATACAATTCACAGCTTTTTTTATTAAAGTTAAAAGGTTAAACCATTTGAAAACAGTATCAAAAAGGTAGGCCTTTTATATATGAATTAAAAAAAACCTAACCCAGTAAATCAAAAAGAATAGGTTTGACTTGATTCTTATTTGTAAAAAAAAATATTTTTTGCCTTTATATAGTTGACAATTGCTAGTAATCCCGGCGGGTAAAAATTTGCGACGAATAACAAAATTTAACCAAGAAACCACCTTTTGTGACCTAATTTAAAAATACTCTTGTGAAATTTTAGCATATTGTGAAATTTTACCAGAACGCTGACTAGATCTGATCCAATCTCACCTATTATACGACTTTTATTAGCTTTAATTTACGCGAAACTTTATTATATATTTATAAAACAAAGGAATCTATTTTAACAATCACATTACACTCATTTTAGAAGTTTGATTGCCAAAATTATAGGAAGCATTTGTTTGTATGTAGGTGGACTAAAAATAAAGAATCTCATAAATCTAATGTTTTTAATCGTCATCATCAGAATCTTCGACTTCAGCTTCTTCTAACCATTTTATAAATGGTGCCACCTAAGAACAAAAAAATTAACACAAATGCCTTAAATACCTTAAATATATTAAATAAAAAACAAACAAACAAGCGTACCCGCTTTTTTATGTTAGATTTTGAAGGATCATCGTCAGCAAGATCAGACGAATTCCATTCCAGAATTGCATCCTCATCCAATACATCCAAAAAATATAGCTTTTTTATTGTCGGAGCGAAAAGTTTGGAATGATGCTGTGTTTTCGCACAATGGCCCTACATTATTAATTTACATTAATTAACTTATGTTCTTTTAAATAAAGTAATAATCGTAACAAAAGTTGTAAGAGAGATACCTGCAAAATATATAAAGTATCGATTTGATCTTGTTTGGAATGAATTAATTTTCCAATAAGTGGCCCCCATTGGTCCAATATCTGAATCATTAATATATGATATATATATTAATGATTGTAAAATCTAAAATCATGAAATATGATAATCCTTATATTGAACAATATTTACATCTTCTGTACTAGTTAAAAAATTGTCAATATTAATTTGCCCTAATATCGTAGGTATTACACTAACACGTAAATCATGAAACGTTGTATTTGAAGCCATTCTCAAAGTATTTAATTCCAATAAAGCAATCTCTACTGTATGACCATCCAAAAAAGCTCGTTCAAGTGTTTGGGAAACTTCTTTGAAGAATTCTTTTAAAGATTCTTCTTCAGTGGCTGATTCATCTGAATCACTTAATTCGTCTGAAGAAGAATCGTATATCACTGATGGCGGAGAATCACTATCAGTAAGAGATATATTGGAGATATCGTAAGCTAGGTTAAATAAATAGGAATTAATAACATTCTCATTTAAAATAATAAACGTTGCGATGCTGCAATTTGGGGTCGTGATTTGAAAATATAAGCAATGTTAAAATCTACATATACTCTTTAATTATCAAAAAAATACCCCCAAAATTTTTTAAAAATTCATATCAAAATAGGTCCAAATTACAGCATCATCCGTAACAATAAATTTATACATTTCATATTCATTATTAAATTACCAAGCCCCGCAACTTGAATATTCTTTACATCAAGTTCATCATCATCTGCATCTGATATCTCATCACTCCAAACATATCCTTGCCCATTTTCACCAACTAATGTAGCGTCATAAGCTACAACTGTGTAATTTGAAATATTAGAAAGATATTAATTAAAAATATCAACATTTAATAGTTACTAACCACTTTCGTTTGACTCTTCCTCATCACTATCAATCTCGGTTTTCTTTTGTTTTGTGAGTTTTGTGTGTGGTTCTAATGTCACATTAGGTCCGATAATTACCTAAAGATTATAAAGAGTTAAGTGATTAAACCGCAATTTTAAATTAAGATCAATATCAAAGAATTTACTTACACCATAAGAAAGTATACATCCTTTTTTGACGATGACATTCTCTTCTAGGACAACATTATTCGCCAGTATTGACTGGAATACAGAACAATTTGATTTGATTTTTACGCCATCCCAAATATAAGCACCATCTATTTCAACGTTTGGCCCTAATTTAGATAATGAATAGTTAATCACAAAAAAAAACTATTTCAAATTTCATTTTTATTCATTATTTGGAAAGTACCTATTGTAACTCTTCGACCGATGACAGAATTTGTTATCTTAACATTTTCAGCAATCTCTGAACCGGCACCGATCAATATTTTCTCACCAAGTGAACAAGATCTAATTGAATTATAAAGAATAAGTATTACTAATATAAACAATTAAAATCTCAACTATTTGAAACATCAATTACCTTGATAACAAAACATCTTTCTCTTTATAAATATGTCCACGCATAAACTCATAGTTATCACCTTCTTGAAGATTACTGTCTGGGACAATAGGAAAAGTCCATCGAGATAATACATCTTTACTAATTATTTCACAAAGATATTTTCGATCAATGAAACAAAATAAATATAATAAATGGCACCCGTAAATAAATTATTATGAACCTGATGGCATCGTATGCATGCAAATTTCGTACTCTTGCAGCATAAACATCTTTAACAAGATGGCAATAAATGGTTTTCTCCAATAAGTCAGATGTCAAAATACCATAAACAAAATCCTTTCGAACATCTTGATAATCAAAATTCTCGGTGAATAAAGCCGGTACCTAAGATAAATTCAGGATAATCAATTCATTGTAGCAGTAAGACTTTTCATTTACCAATTTATTTACCTCTACTGAACAAATATCAATCTGACAATCGATATGATCATTACGTATTTGAACATCAGCATGCTTTTTGAATACTTCCATATCCATAATCATGCGACGTTTACGCGGATAGAGCTCCACAGTTTCACAATGAACGCATTTATTAGTTTTCCCATCTAGTAAATTAATGAAACATTTCAATTCAGAACTTAATCAAGAAAAATAAATTACCTATATAAATCATTAAATATAAAATATTCTTAATATTCTAAATATATAGCATGTAAATTTACCTTTTTTTTTTTTTTATACCATTGTCATTATTGCATTATTATCAACAGATTTTCGAGCCTTTTATATAGAAATTGTAACATCAAAGTTGAGCCAAATACAAACAATACTTTGTCTAAATGTATATTTGATACAACATCACCGTATATAAGAATAAGATCGGAATTAATTAATTGTTTCGCATCTAGTTCTCTCAGTGCATCTCCAACTGAACGCGCTTCAGATGTTGCAATAGTACTAATTTTTTATTTGAGAGTATGATCGACTCCATTTTGACTTTCTGGATTGAAAAATTATCTAATTTTATTGATTTATATAATGCTAAGAATACGATCGCTAAGATTATATAAAATGTAAAACCTACTTGATATAATCTTTTATTATTTCATAGTGTTCTCTACAAAATAGATATGCCTCCTGCACGCTAGCAACTGCAAGAAGTTCTAAGGTATAGTCAATGAGTGGTGTATTGCAAAGTGACGTTATAGTAGTGTGGGGTATGAAATAATCTCTAATCATACCCGTGGCCTATCAAGGGTCACGGGACGAAATCGGTCATTAAAATTATCAGCAAGAATGACGCATAACTCACTTTCAGATTCCAAATTTTTGCCAGAAGTTTTAGGTGGTGGCATTTTGGGTTCGAAATAGTGATAACCAAATCGTTGAATGATTATCTACTTTAATAAAATTCAGATCACTACGTATTTAAATTTAAGTATGACCGGCCATAATTTTTCGGCTATGATTAAACCGATAAATTCTACGTACTGGCCAATTTTTTACCGCATTTAGCAATACAAGTTTGGGTCAATATTTCGACTTCGATACTATAGAATCAATTCTAGTTAACTTTCAAAAATCGATTTTAAACATTCAATAAAGCATAATGTTGATTCAAACGTAAACTTTTCAACTTATTAGTAATAATGTATTTTATTAACATTTATTATGCACATTCGTAAAATAAAAAAATATACATTATTTTTAAACACAAGTTTATAAGTTTTTATTTCAAATACAAAACTATTTATTTTTATAACTTTATTAATTTTTTATTTGTTTATTTATACAAATTACAAAATTATATATACATAATAGAACAAATATTGAGACACTTCGTTTCGGAGATTAATTCTCCCATTTGGTTTCAGAGACTAATTCTCCTACTTATCCCAACCACCACGTAAAGGTGTATCTCATGGTTGGGTCGCCTAAAAATAAAAAAAAAAAAAAACCGATAAACGATAATTTTTAAATAAAAAAAAAACAAAAAGAAAGATACAAATACTCGGAACCAACAAAGTCTAGAATCTAAAAAACTATAATAAAATATTAACAGTAATTTGAAATTAAAGAAAAAAAAAACAAAAAAAAAGATACTAAATACTCGGAACCAACGGCAAACCGAGTAAAAAATAAAATCTAAAATCTAAAAAGTAACAATAAATAAAAAACGTATTAAAAATAGTAATTTTAAATGAAAAAAAAAACAAAAAAAAAAGATACAAGAACACTAGGAACCAACGGCAAAAAAAAAATTATTTAAAAAAACAGTTTAAAACAAAAAAGATAATAAAGGGTAAAAGGCAATAAAAATAATTGTAAAAAAAGAAGTATTTATAAATATGTATTATTTATTGACACGTTCATAACTTCGCGATTTTGATCGTATGATCAGCCATGATCAGCAGTGTCCATTACTTTTTTGATGCATTTAAGGTTAATAGTTTATAAAAATATCAAGAATACGATTTATGCAATATGTAGATCAATATGTAATTGGAGACGACCCCCTAATTTGGAAATTGATCATGAAATAACTATGAACTGTAAGATGTGTGGCATGCGTCCAAAACTAAAATAGTCTATAGGCATTCTGAATCACATCGTGACTAATTTTGAATTAGTTATAACATTATGAATATTACGTTAATTTTTCGGGTTATTATTAGTTCGACCACGCTCGTGTGACAGAACAAAAAATATTGCTATTGTTAATAAAAGAGTATAAGTAAATTTTAATATGGTTTACATATTTAAATAAAGACCCAGTTTCAAATCAGATACAATAATAATCATATAAATCAGATTAAAATTCGCTTATTCAAATCTGTATTCAAAATAAAGCAGAGCTTTTACAAATCAAAATGCATCGTAGGTGTTAAATACATAATTGCCTCACAAACGGCAAAATAATCAGTATTTAATCTAATTAAAAATACTCGGCTCCTCCAGAAAATAAATAACATGAACATATATATGATGCCGAACACCATAGATTCATTTGATAATTTCTGTAATCAACAATATATCCGATATATAATCTGCACAATAAATTAAAAATAATACTTCACCTTTAAGTAAAGATGAACCGCCAGTAAAAGCAATATTATCCCATAATGTAGTTCGTTTGTCTGGCTCGCAATAGGATATTGCCCGATAAATAGCCTCAATTAGAAGAGGGTCGAAAATAGGTTCGACAACTTGGAAACGTTCAAGATCAATTGTAAACTGTTTCGATCGATTATGAAAGGTGTTACAATAATAAGCATATGATAAGCATAATATATGCAAAGATTGTAACCCGTCAAGAGAATTTTTATCCAGGTAATTTATTATAGTCATCTAATAAAAATGTCTAAGTAATTGTAGTAAGATCTGACCTTTCTTCCATTATATTCAGCTTCTATTTTATTTGGTCTATCCTCTATGAATCAACATCTAAAAGAACCTCACAAATATCAGATTCCTTGAGTGTTCTTACGAGTTCAAATTGCTGGTCAAGATTTTGATGAATATTTTCTTTCAATGCTGCTATCTGGCACCCAATTTGGTATCGTCAGAGCTGTGTGATATTGGATGGAGCAATCAATTATTGGAGCGATTTCCAATTAAATTTATTGGAATTAAACATTATAAAAGTAGGTGCATTTATTTAAATATACCATTTTTACCATATCCAACATCAATTACAAGGCCGCTAAGACAATCAATACCGTACAGAGTCATCAAAGCTTGATTGGCAATATAAGGTCCAGGTGCATTAAAAGTTTCGAAAAAAATATGTGCTATTCGTTCAAAATGTTCTTTTGCCCAACTATTAGGGACTGTAATAAGCACTGGACATTTTTTGCGAGCTCTTTTGATGTTTAATTCCTTCAAAATAACGTGACGTCTATCAATGATGACCATAAAATTCTTGGGTAAACAACAAATTAATCAGAACATTAAAGATTAAAGATTTTGTAAAGTGGGCACCATATGGCTTCTAATTCTTCCCAGTTAACGGTCACACCACGTTGTATCGGAAATGTTACGATATTGTTGCTTTCTTTGAGTTCCTTTAACTGGGATCCGCATATATAAGTTGGTTCCTTTGCAGCCACTTTCGGAGTTCTATCCTCAGGTGAATTCGGACCAGAATTATCGAAAATTGAAGGTGCCTCTTGTTGACCCAAATTTTCAAAATTGCGTTTATCCAAGTCATTCTCAGTCTGCTTGGCAACTTCTGCAGGAATAACCTAAAAAAAAGATCGACTTTAGTCTTTTGAATTCCAATTAATTAATGCACATGTAACGGTATAAATAATTTATTACCACTGACGGGCTCTGGTTAGTATCGCTAACACCAATTCCTGCTTTTACAGTATATATATAGATTATTGAATCTGAACATGTTTATAAACTTGAACTGAACTTGAACCTAACTTAAAATTTCATATTGAATTTAAACTAAACTTTTTTTTAAAAAAGCTCAAGTTTAAATTTAGCTCAATTTAAACTAATCATAATTTAAAGTTTAGTTTAGTTCAGTTTATAAAAAGCTAGTTGGTAGATTTAATTACTTTTCAAATTATAATCTATTTAGTTTGTTTTGCCAATATTCATTTTTCGAATCTAGTTTTTATAATAGTACTATTAAAGATTTGTATTACTTTTTTATTTAGATTTTTTAAATGAGTTTTTATATTTTTTTAACTTTTAAATTTTTATATATAACCAAAAAGCTTATTATAGATTTGTATTATCTAATATTGATTTGCATTTTTCTATATAACGTATAGGTACTTCTGATCTTTTAATCAAACTAATATGACTAAATTATAGACGTCTAATTTAATTTATTTTATACAAGAGGAATGCTTTGCGTACATCAATTCTGTGCAACATCATGTACATTAATTTTTTTTGACCAATAAAATTATAGCATTAATTGGTTACTTAAAAATTCGGCAATTATTTGCGTACATTAATCAGTTCGTACATCAATCAGTATGTACATCAAATTTATCAAACAATATAACATCGCATCGTTGACCTCATTATTATTAATTTTATCCTCCATTGTTAACTTTATACTTATCTTCATTCATTCAATCGTATACACATCGTTAATATTGCACTTGTCGTTGACCTTGACCTTACTTGCTATATTCATCTATTAATAAGTTTTCGTGAATTTCATATTGTTCTAGCTTTATATATTCTTAGCTACTTACTCTTTATTAGCCTATTCTTCGTCAGACTAGTTTTTGTGTTATTTTTTCATTTCAACTCTAGCTTATGTTAATTTTCTGATTTATCACATGGAT